CTTGAAACTTTATCAATAATTTATGCACTCAAATGGTTTAGAGTTTATTCGCAAGGTTTGAAATTTAAAATAATTACGGACTGTAATACATTAATTTTAACTTTAAATAAAAAAGAAATGAACCCAAGAATAGCAAGGTGGGCGCTAGAACTTCAAAATTATGATTATGTATTGGAACATCGATCAGGCAGTCGTATGCAACACGTATACGCGCTTAGCCGTTGTAATAATATCTTAGTTTTAGAATGTAATACACTTGAGGAGAATATGATTATTTGTCAAAACAAGGATCGGAAGTTAAAAGAGTTGCGTGACCTATTAGAGAAAACTGAACATTGTTTATATGAAATGCGTAATGGTGTGATTTATAGGAAAAAAGAGAAGGAATCGGTTTTATTTTATCTTCCAGAAGATATGGAAAACCATGTGTTATATAAATACCATGACGGCATGGGGCATTTAGAGATAGACAAAACAATGGACATTATTTCGAAAAGTTACTGGTTTCCTCAGATGAAACAAAAAATTACGAATCATACACAAAATTGTTTGCAGTGTATAACAATTTCAGCTAAACATGGTCGAGAAGAAGGATTTTTGCATACTATACCAAAAGGAAGTATACCTTTTGAGGTGGTACATATAGACCATTTTGGACCGGTTGATAGTTCAAGAGCATTGAAATATATACTAGTTGTGGTGGATGCGTTTACAAAGTTTGTAAAATTATATCCGACAAAAACAACAAAAACTAGAGAGGTAGTACGTGTATTAAAAGATTATTGTCGATCGTATAGCCGTCCCAAAACAATAGTGGCTGATAGGGGTAGCTGCTTTACTTCGGTTGAATTTTTGAATTTTTTGAAAGAAGAAAATATTAAACATGTTAAGATGGCTACAGGGTCACCACAAGCAAATGGCCAAGTTGAGAGGGTAAATAGAAACATATGTCCTATGATTGCAAAACTTTCAAGTTCGGATAAAAATGTTTACTGGGACAATGTAGTAGAAACGGTTCAATTTTCTTTAAACAACACTTTACATAGAACTATAAAAGAGTATCCTAGTGTAATGTTATTTGGGGTTAAGCTGCGAGGGAAAGTACTAGATTTGTTGAGAGAAAATTTAGTTGACGAGGTCCAATGTCAGGAACAAAGGTCTTTTGGGGATATTAGGGTTAGTGCAGCAGAAAATGAAAAGAAGTTGCAAAAATACAATGAAGAGTATGTAAATAGCAAGCGGAAGGCTCCGAACATATTTAAGGAGGGGGATTACGTGATGTTGAAAAATTTCGATTCTCACATTGGTGTGTTGAAAAAGTTAATTCCAAAGTTTAAAGGTCCATACATGATAGCTCGAGTGTTAAAAAATGATCGTTACGTGGTGAAGGATGTTGAAGGTTTTCAGCAATCCAGGACACTTTATATTGGAGTATGGGCAATAGGAAATTTGCGGCCGTGGTTTGGTGGAAATAGGCAGAATCAAGGTGAATGAGGAGATCAGGAGATCTCAATTGTCAGGATGGCCGAATTGTAGCATGTATGGTAGTGTACTGTATTATTTTGTACTTGTGCATGATGTTTTGTAGTGATCTGTGTTTCAAATGATCCGACATAAAAGTTCGTTATCACACTCTCATTCACATTTCCCCTATATGTATGTATTTGTGTTTCATGTCTGATTGTTTTGTTGAATGTTGTCTTGTTCTGGTTTATATGTTCTTATATTGTAAAATACTTTTTATGTTTCATTCTGATAAATGTATGTGTGTATGTAAATACTTAGTTCAAGGGGGCGTAAACTTGTGTAACTCGTTGTTGAATGTATGTAAAAGGGGAGCATGCGTACGTCACTCGTTGAAAAGGGAAGTGAACGAATAAGTTTTTCTGTATTGTGAAAATTTGTATTTCAAGCAGAATGAAAAGATTTATTGAACAGAGCGGATGTGTATTGTTAAATTACGGCATCCTACATCATAAAAATACAATCGCCGTTCGGAGTCGGCGTAAAACTGTAGGTCCCTCCGCTTTGTGTGACAACATCAAGGCGCACGCCACAAATCGGAGCAGAAGCTCGGCCAAACACTAACATATATGTAAGCACCAATCTATTATTATATTATTATTATTATTATTATTAATTGAAAGATGTGCCAATAGCGTTATTATATTTATTGGTTAGCAATAAGTTTTCTAAAAGTTAACGAAATGAAAAAAAAAATTTTGAAACAGGGAAAAGAAAAAATTTGAGAAACTGAATTTGAAAAAAAATGAATTAAAAAAGTTTCTAAACGTTAAATAAAATAAAAAAGATTAATTTTTTAAGCAATAACACTTGTTGTCATATTTATTTTTATTTGGAATTAAATTGCGACGATTGAAAATAATATAACTATTGCAGCAGACCTACTCGATATGAGGTGTAGAGATATTTCAGTGAGACCCGCTATCACTTTAAACGCAAACAATTGATCAAACACTCGGAATAAATATACAGCTGCAGCGCACCGACAAACACGTCTACTCAGCTTGACATTCTTTACTTATAGTATAGTATTGATATAATACTCATTTAAAATATCGCTGTAAAAACATCGGGTACCGATTAATATTGGGATAAAAAGACTCGATATTCCAAATATCAATACCAAATTCAAAAAATTAAATCTGAATATTGGTCTCATTTTCTAATAAAGAATGAACAATTTTGCACTTTAATAAGTGGTTGCTTACGTTGAGGTAAGTGTGTTACTTAACATCACCGAAGGCATGGGTCGAAATCCCGCCTCGTGCCAACTTAAGTAAGATAGTACACATTTGTGCTCTTTAAGGCCAAAAACATATTCATATTGCTTTTCATATAAGTTCCAAAGTATAGACATATTTATGGGCGTTTCCAGGGGAAGGTCATGGCACGACCTAGGTTTGCAAAAAATTGAACAACTAGGTAGCGCTGAAGTCAAAATAAAAATATATATTCGACATGAAATGCATGTTTTATTTGCGTTAAAAATTAGTTTAATAACAATATTAACAAAAAAGTTTAAATGGAAATTTTAGTAACGTAACGTCATGCAACATCACGTCAGATACTTCGGCTAATAAAAAAGGAGGAAAGATTTTTATATTTTGTAACTTGGAAAATTAACTTTAAATATTTAAAATATTAACAAATAAAAATTATACAAATAATCTTGCCCAATTCCCAGAGTTTTTAAATGTTGACGATTTCAATTTTTTTAACATTTCGTCACGCCACGCGGATTTTCCTTAAGCACGTAAAACTCGTAAGTTTACGAGGCTTTTATGGGAACGCCCCCTTTATGAAAAGTTGTAAATAGTTGCGTAAAGTGTCTGTTTGACAGATCAGCCAGGATTTCGTGAAGCAATTTTTGTTTCGTAGTATTTTCCATTACATACCGCCATCTTGTCTCTATCACTTTTGGTTAAAATACAATTAAAAATTCCGAAAATTAGCAAAAAATCTAAGTAAATACAGTTAGCGGATGAAATTCGTTCATTTTATTCGCTTATAAATTTTTTTAATATATTTTCATTATTTTATCATACATTTATTTATATTTATATTTTGTATAAAAATTTCGGCCCCTCGGCAACACTGAAGTTTACGAGGTCATTTGCGCATCAATTTTACCTCTTAATTTTACGAGGGGCTCGTAAATAGAGCTCCATACAAATTTTGACAGTTCTTTTGCGAGACTAGTAAATTTACGAGCTTTACGAACCTTTTACGAGTTTAAGGGAAGACCCCTATAAACTTTGTATTGTACATTTACGATTCGATACGATACAAAGGTTCTGTTACTCGATTCCAAAAAATATCGTTTGAAAACTATCGAGTAAAAAGTATCGGTATCGAATGGCAAAAATATCGATATGGTATCGTATCGTATCGAAATTAGTGTCCCTAAGTGTTTGTGTCAGTGGTAAACACCATACGAGACACTTGGTGACGGTTATTTTCGAGCTCTGATTTATACATATAAACATGCGCATATAAACAGCAACAAAAAATTTAACGTTTGGACACCATCCAATGTTATCCATTCCCCTGGCTGATGTTTGAACCGTAACCAGAGATGGTTTTTTTTCAAACGAATTGAACAATAATGACAATATTTTTTAAATTTCGTTATCAAATGAAACGTAAGAAACAATATTGCTCTTCACATCGAGCTCGGTATTCGGTAACTCGGTGTCCGGTAATTTTTTCTAATGTATTTTGTTTGTGTAAAATAGTGTTACACAAACAAAATACATGGGAAAAAATACCGAACACCGAGTACCAAGCTTTGGTGTGAAGACCCATAATATCTACGATGCATGTAACCTGCCTATATACATATCGTCGCCTGGGTAAAAGATTGTCGTATGTAATTTCGGCAGGTTGTGGGAAATCGCGATTGAAGTTTGGAATGCAATTTCTCAAAAACGCGAAGATAGATTTTCTCCAAGGTCTCTGAAAATGTTACTAGTCCACAAAATTCTTAAATTATTTAATTTTAAATGTTTATTATTAATTAGTTTTGAGTTTATGAAGGATTTTCTTTAGTAAAATTTTGTCGTAAGCGTCATTTGTCCACAATTTGGCAGCCACATTGTATGAAATACGACAAAATGTGATAAAAATTTCTACTAAATTAACGACACTTTTTACTCAATATCTCGGAAACTAAAAGAGTTATCCAAAAATGGAGAACGCCATTTTTAAGATATTGATTAGTTCAATATTACTGCTTCACTAGGTAAATTTTTACTAAATTATCGAAAAACGTTTAGTCAATATCTCGGAAACTAAAGGAGATATCTAGAAACTGATAACACCAATCGAAAGACCTTATTTCAAAATCATAACTGTATCTATAACTAAAAATCATCAAAATTGCGCTTACGGCAATCTTTTACCCAGGCGACGATATCTATGTGTAGCAGGACAGCGTCTGCCAGGGCTTACTAGTAAATTTATAAATTTCTACTCACCTTGGCCCACTGCCAATTGTGCCGAGCATGTTGTACTCTCAACGCCAGCTGCTGCTTTCACAGTGTACGTTCCAGCGTCAGATTCTCTAAAATAATAAATAGAGAAAGTTTAATCAAAGCTATGTTTTACAAATTTAACCTGCGCCAAAAAAAATCTTAAACTGCTGTTGAATTGCTATACATTCTCATAACTATAGAAAACACAATGAGGAAGTGCAAATATAACTTTAAGTGTAAAATAATGGTTTTCCTTCTGTCAGTTTTCATATCAAATTCAAATGAAAAAATCATATTTCAATTAAATTGCATTCGTGAAAGTTACTATTAAAGCCCAGTCAAGTTAGCTCAATGAATGGAGGTAAGCTTACGATAATTCGCATGAAGCTAAAAATTAATAGGAGTTGTGGGAACACCATTTTAAATGTAATGTAAAAAGTCCCCATTGATCCTACTACTGAAAAAAGGTCAAAAAGCCCTCAAAATTGGTTTTTTGCATTTTTCCGCCAAACTTCAAGGTGGATTATAAAACAATTAAATAAAAAAACTTTTTAATATAACATACTAATACTATACTATACTATACTATACTATACTATACTATACTATACTATACTATACCATATACTGCTCCCTCGTTATAACATAACAGAAAAGCAATTTAATGACCTTTTCCTAAAGTTTGGCAATAAGTATATTGTAGCAGGAGATTACAATGCCAAACGTACATTCGGGGTCTAAATTGATTACACTAAAGAACAGAAATCTATATAAAGTAATCCAGAACAGAGGATTTGACGTCTTCTCTACTGATCAGCCAACGTATTGGCCCTCTGACCCCCAAAAGATAATCGATCTTATTGACTTTGGTGTAACAAAGTGTATTGCGAGACACCATGTTAATACAGAAACATTATTTGATCTCTTTACAGATCATTCTCCCTGTCCCATGACATTATCAATGTTGAATAAAAATAAAAACAAACTCTTAAAGTAAGCACACAAACTGGGTAAAATACAAATATTATGTCAGTTTGCACATTGACCCGCAAATTCTTATTTGGACCAAGAATGATATCGACAGGGCAACTGAAAATCTCACTGACATAATAATTAATAGACAGCTGCATGAATGTAGTGGTTGGCATTTATGAGACAGTCGGTTGTGCTCCACAATGTTTGCTCACTCAACCCTTA